AGGAACTGCGCCATGCTCCAAATCCTCGAGGTCGTCTACTTCCTCCTCAATGTCCATGGCCTCGACATCAAAGACCTCATCCAGGTGGTACATTGTGTCCTCTCCAACGCACACCTTCTCGATCCTCCTCTCGACCATCTCCTGGTGCTGCGATGAACTTGATCCACTTGTAGGTCCATCTAGTCGAGCTCGTTTGGCCTCTGGTTCAACCTTGACTGCTGCTTCTGGAGGCGGGAGCTTCTTCAGGATTCTCCCTTCAGGAGGTATTTCATCTCCCATGGCAGTGGTTCAAAGACCATTGGAATATCTCCTCCTGCGCCCCTTTCCCCAGGTTGATCACCAAGAGCTGGGGGAGTTTGCAGTCCTTCTCTCTGCTCAGCGAGTTGCGGGGCTGATGGTGCTGGTCCTCCAGGCTCATCAGTCAATGTTCCTCCATCAGGTTCACGAGCTTCTTCGATCTCTCTTTGGCTTTCCTCTAGCCCTTCCTTTGACTTTGCATAGCGCTCTACCTCCTCTGCCTCCTCATCTCTGTATCGAAAAATGATCTCATCACGAGGTGGTGCAGGTCCCAGTTGAAGGGGTACTGCACTGGCGGCTCTCTTGCTCGGAATGATGCGGCCACCAAAGTTGATCTGGTACTCGAAGGTGTGAGTGGCAAAGTTTTGGTAGGCGCCAAAGTTCCTCCAGGGTCGATCAATCCTCTTGACAGATCTGGTGAGCATCACCTGACTTCCATCGCCCACTATCCATGCATCTTGGCCTTCTGTTTTGCCCAGGAACAACGTCATCCTCCATCTTGGATTGCCTTTGCCAGATTGAGGCTTGACAAAGGCGTACACCGGGCATCCAAAGGGAACCAAGGCACCAGTATAGGCCTTGCCGTGCACTAGCTCATGGCTTGCGGTCCCTCTCGTGGCTTGGAACTTGTTCAACAGCCAACAGGAGTGCCTTGCAGCCCAACTCCATAAACCATGGTTCGTGTTGAACTGCAATCCAGTCTTGGTCGCAATATCCCGCATCAAGGTGCACGCAAGTCCACGAACTCTCTGGATGGCGTTCTCTGCCAGGGAATTTCCAGCTGAATCCTTGACCTTTGTGGTATACAATCTTGTTCGAAGACCCATGGCGTGCCGGCTGTTCAGTAAAATCCTCAGCACTGAACGAATCGTGGGCTCGTTATCTCCATAGAGCCCAATCTCCACATGGCCGAGGGTCTGCACGAAGTTCATGATCTCCCGAGCCATTAGGTTCAGCTGTCCCTTCGACTGCAACGGCACTGCTCCCAAACTTCCTGTTTGACTGCAGACCATGATGAGCCACAGTGCAGGTTTCAGCTCTCTGATGCGAGGTTCGTGTGGGCCTTCTTGCTCATCACGATCATAAAGATCAATCACCTCTCCATCCTCTGGATCTTGGCCCCGATCCCTCGGAACTGGGGCTCTGTCGATCTCTCCCGCCTTCGTGTAGGCGAAGTCCAGCGAGATGATTGGGATTCCACCAGTATGTGCTGCTCCAGTCCTCAAGTGTCGGTCAGGTCATCCTCGATGTTGTAGGCAGGCCTCGCACCACGGTTGATATGGCACGTGTGTCAAAGCATGAAGTTCTTGCACCTGTTTGGACAGCACTGGCACGATGCTCTGCATCTTCGGCTGTCTTGCCATCTGCAACTCTGCTGCTGCCACAGCTTCAGAAGCGGCTTTGAGTTCACGCTCCTTCAAGTGGCTCACAATCCTCTGGAAACACTTCAAGCGGCTTCCCGACTGACTAATGCCAAAGAAATGGCATGCAGCACGTAGCTCTCGAAGCTTGCTGGTGGACGTCAACTGAATGTCATTCACCACCACATGATCTGGTAGACCAGCTTCCAACACCAGTCGTCCTTCTTGCTCTCCAGCTCCTTCTCCATCAACACCATCTGCAACTGCAGGAATGTCATCATCTGCAGCCTCATCCATGGCACGTTGTGGCTCTTTCTCCGGGATCTCATGTTCCCTCAAAGCCAAAGCATCATCCACCTTTGGCTGCAAGTCCAGACCAGTGTCCACCTCGAAGCCCATCTCCTCGGTGCTCAGGTCTTCTGCAGTGAGGATCGTTAAAACCAGGGCGTTCTCTTCGACAGCGTCAATGACCTCCTCCTGGTTGTCCAAACCATGCAGATTCTCACACATCTCATAAAGCTGCCACTGGTCCTTCACCTTCACGAGGGTGGTCCTCTTCCAATCTGTCGTGGAAGGAATCTCTCCCACGAATTGCGGGGTTTGAAGCCTCTTAGCCAAGTGGACACCATACCACTTGTTCTCCTCCTGCTTCCAACCGACTTGATACCTCGCCTTCAGCTGGAGGTCATCCTTCAACCGAGCCTCCAAGACTCTAACCATCATGGGCTCGTTCTGCTCCTCCACCACCGCTCGTAGGTGCCCTTCGGCAACAAGGCTCCTGTTTTGAAGCTGCAATGGGATCCTCACAACACTGTTGCCCTGACCAAAAGTCATGCAATGCTGGCTCCCATCATCACGTCCGGCCTCTATGTTCCAGCCTGCTTCCATGAGTTTGCCATAGGAGATGATTGGCTGGTTGATTTCATCTGAAAAGTGGGCCTTGTCGAAGATCTGGACTTCTCGCTCTCCATCGGCCTGGAAGATGAAACAGACCTGTTTGTACCCACGAACTGCAATGGGTACTCCTTGAGCATCCTGCAACCGTGGGGCTCCTTCGCAAAGATCCGTGCCAACATCCAAAAACGAACTCGGCAGGATCGTGGCGTCAGCACCTGAATCAATAATCACACTCACCGGGCCCTCACTCTCCATGCCATGGTGCTGCTGCGTCACAGTCATGATGTTATAGGTCAGCTTGTCTTCATCGTCATTGGGCTCAATCTCTTCAGAGATGGAGAAGAACTGGACCATCCTGACCTGTTTGTTGTCCAGGCTTGCCATTGACATTGGCCGTAGATCGAAGATCATGGGCTCATTCTCGAATTCCAGGTGTGAAACCTCCTGGACTCTCTTGACCGTGCCCGATTTCCAGCTCGCGCTCTGGCTGGCAGTGGTAGGACTTGATGCAACCGTTCCTGTCTCTGCATTGGCCTTGGCATTGGTGGTCTCCTCGCTGACCTGCCTCAAGCGCTGCCAGCAATCCTTCGAGATATGGCCAGCTTTGCCACATGTGTAGCAGACCTTGGAGTCACCTTTTCCTTTCTGGCCTTTCTGACCTTCACCTTTGCCAGCTCCTTTCGGTTGACCTTTGCCTCCTGGATCTGGTTGCTTGCCATAGCCCTTGGTCTTGGACTTGCCCTTCACATCGCCTTTGCCCTTGCCTTTCCGCTCATAGTCCTTGCCCTTGGATTTGGAGTAGTCACCACCTTTTCCTTTGACGCGGTCGATCTCCATGGGGATGGCTCCATCAGAGCTTCCGGGTTCAGCTCCAAGCATCATCACATTCGTCCATTTCATGGTGGCGTTGTCATACTGTATGATCGCCTCCCTCAGCTTCTGATAGTCCTGGGACTCCGCCACATTGAGTTGTAGCCAGGTCTTCAATTGGCCTCCGATGCACCTCATGAGGACGGCAGAGCGGATGTTGTCCTCCAACTTCGAGCCCGTCTTCTCATATTCAACAAAGGCCTCTTCGAGGCGGAGGACCTGGCCCAAAATGCTCCCCTTTCGCATTTCGAAGGGCTTCCACTCCAGGATCATAGTCAAAAGGCCGAGGGCGCGATTTTTCGATGCTGGTTCCAAGCTCTGCACCAGCAATCTATAGGCTTCCATGCCGTTGGACTCCTTCACCTGGCGTAGCATAGCCAGCGGGCGCTGCTTCACCAAAGACGCCAGCAGCGAGTAGAGGAACTTGCTCCTCTGCTTCTCCTCATCAGATTGGATGCTGGGGTCGATGGGATCATCAGGTCGGGCTCGGATGTCCTTGAAGTCCTCAGTGAACATACCATTCAAGGACGAGAGGTATTGTTCAAGGCTCCAACTAAAATCCCTCCACTGGGTGAGTTCTTCTTCTCGGTTCTTGGCGTCAAAGGTGTTGGGCTTCGGGAGCACCTTGAACCACGATTCCTCTCCAGCATTCTTCCTGGACAGGGCTTCTGCGGCCGTCTTGGCGGCAAGGGATGCCGCTTCTGCAGCTTGGATCATCCTCATCGCGAACTCCTGGCCATCCATGGCCGCTGCAGCCGAAGTCGGTGAGCCAACCGCTTCACCTTGACCAGCCATGGCCACCGAACTTCAATTCCGGGACCTCCTTGGGCTTTAGGACGTAGTCCCCACCAGCCAAGCGCCTATGGCGTCAGGCAACCAGGAGCCTCCACCGGTCCCCAACGGGGGAGACCGGCTTCGCAGGCTCCGCTACCATGCGAAGCTTTTCTCGGGCCAACTAGCGGTCTGTAAAAGACACTTCTCGATTTGTGCGTGTCATCTTAGATGAACTGCTACTGACTCTATGAGCACTTGTCTTCATGTCAAGCATAGCAGCAGAAAGCTCTGGGAAACAGCCAACTTAGCAGCAGAAAGCTCTGGGAAACAGCCAACTTAGCAACAAAAATGTAAACATATTTTACAACCATTCTGAACCATTCGGGGAAAGAGGCCAGGCTGAGACATGAGGTCACGAGGCCCAACATGAGTATCATTGTCCTTTTGTGTTCTTTTTGAAGGACACAGGCTTTCCAGACGTGAAGCTCAACATTTCCAACATCACTTTGTTCATCAAATGTGCCGGCCCCAGTTTTTACTGATGTGGCCTGAAGTAAAGAGGCCACAAGTGGAAATATATTCTTGCATGTATTCTGACATCTCTGACATTCTTCCTGGCCTTTTATTCTGGCAACTACACTAACGTTCTTTCCGGCGTCTGTTCTGAGGAGAAGGAGTAAAATCTAGAGACCCTCACCTGGCAGGTGGGAAAAAACAGGATTCCCGCACTGGCCTGCACGAAAATACTGATCGTTCAACTGCTCACGGGAATTAATCCTCTTTTATATTGGTCTGTCGAACCTCTGCAACTTGCAGCAGCCGAGCTTGAACTGGTTGGAGTCAAAGGAGATGCTCGCAACAACTCCACCCCCTTGACAGTAAGGCGTTGTTGGGGGCTGACACGATGACAACAAGGCCGTTGAACGGCAAAAGAGTCTCACTCCTGTAGCAGCGATTGGGCCACCATACTTGCCGGCTGTCACCGGGATGCCAGGTAGATTGTACCAGCCGCTGACAGCGCTGCCATCGGGGCAACTCATTGACCCAGAGAACGAAAAGAACACCTTTTCCTGAGTGGACGCGCCGCTGATGGATCTTTTTTCAAGTTTCTTCCAACCGACAGTAAAAACGAAAGCTGAATGTTCTAAAACTGCAGCGCAAGAGCTATCATCATCTTGAGCAAAGCAACAGGAAGCTTTACCTTGTTGTGTCTGCGGTTTCCAGTGACCCTCTTTTGATGGTGGCATCAATATATACGCAAACCAAGAATCATCAAATGCGTCAACGAAACGGCAGTATGGCATGGTCGAGCCCTCGGAGGCGACCACGGCCCCTTGTGGGCATCTCAAGCCCCACGGTGCTCCACCGGGCTGCAAGCTAAGGAATCCTTAGTCTGGGCTGGAGAAACATACATAGTCACCTAGGGGGTTCCATGTACTCAACAGTTCGTTGGAACATGGCGGTCTTCTTCCTTCCTGCCATACTTGCTTTCCTTGAAGAAATCCTATACTATACTATATATACTATACACCAAAGAGCCGGGACGCCCACTGTCTCGGCGAATGTTGCACTTGCAGCTGAGAAATTGAAGGGAGCCGCTTGTGGGTCACCAAAAGGTGTGGTGTGATAGGCCAAGCGAAGAATATCGGTCAGCTGCTGCATTGTCATGCCCTTGTCAACCGTGTTCTTGGCCAGGCTTGGGTCCACTGTGGCTGATGGTTTCATCCTCAAGTCTATTGTTCAACGCAAGCTCAAAGGTACAGTACAAATGTGGAATGTCAGAATTCTGCTAACTTTAGCTGAGCGTCAGGACAGGGCAACTTTTTTCGATGAATACTGTCTGGGCTTGGTCTTTGAACCTCGGTGCAGTGAATGCTACCAGTCACGACAGCAGTCCTAAGTGCACACAGCAAACCTTGAGAGGTGCTCAGCCTGAGGATCCACAAAAACATCCTTTGCCGGCAAAGAACCAACTTGTCGCCTGGAATAAATCTTCAATCTTCACAGGGGCATTGTCGGCGCACGAGGTTGCGCACTTTCCATCCACAACAGGTCCCTCTGCATGACCTCAGCGTCTAATTGCAGAACTGGCCCCCTTGAAGTTCCGAAAACTCCCTGCCTGGCAAACAAGTGAATAGGGTCTTGTTCGCGTCCTGGATGGAGACATGGATCCCGGGGGAATACTTGTAGGCCTCCTTTTCCTTGCTAGATAAAGACTCCAGGTCTGCGATGGTGAAGTTGAGTAGCTGGGCCTCTGCATTGGGATTCGAGTCCTGCTGCATGACCACCGAGATGGAGGCTTCACAGCTGCCAAGTTCTGTCCATTGTCCCCATTGATGTTCTGCAGGAACAACTTTGTCTTCCTTCCAGCGAATCCCATAGGCGCCGTGCCAGCAATCCTACAGGGTGGCTGCAGTGCAGCAAATGATTGGGTGAACACCACGTGGGGGCTATCAAGGCCTCATGATGAAGAACACGCGTGAATTGAGTCAGGTCGACCAAAGCAAGCTCGTCCTGACTGAACTCGACACTCGTCTGGCCGACTAATTTCAGGCACAGTTTGCTGTTGGAGAATGGTATGATCTTGCCAGAGACAAAATTGAACTTGTAACTGTCATCATCAGGAGTGGTCGACCTGGCGCGCTTCAACAGATTCCCCACGGCCTGCATGTAGTATGTGGTGCTTGTGTCCCCAAGATCAAAGTAGACCAAATGGGCTCCTCTCCACAGAAAGGTTGAGCGGCAGTCTGATGTGGCTCTCATAGTTTCATCCCAAGGCGCACCAAGGCAAAGTTGATTGGGAATGCCAACCTGTTCCACGTACATCCGAAATTGGCCTACGGCAACAGGTTGGCTCTCTCAACGTGCCAATCTCGCGATGTTTGCGCAACATTTATTGGCCGGCGTTGCCACTTGTGGGAACCGCAAGGAAAACAACATGTAGCGTGCCAGCATGTCTTGCGTGGCATCCTCTGGAAAGAAACAGGGCCTCCTCAAGCAAAACATGAATATGTGAATGTAAACATATATATATATATTGCGAAGCGAGATCTTTTTCTCAGCTTGGGCCTATACAGTTGCGTTTGTGCACTTCTTGTTTTGCGCGTGTCACGCCTGACCGAGTGACCGGGCATTTGGCGCAAAAGTGAATCAAGTTCCCTCTCTGCGCAACTCTGTACTCTGTGGTCTGCTTCAGCATTCGCAGACCATATGCCTCCGAAATCTCAAGCTCCTTTAGAGCCTGTTTCCGCTGCGGTCGAATCTCTTTGATTCCGTTCTCAAGCTCCTCGATGTAGAGCTCTTGCTCATGCAGCTTCTTTGCCATCTTGGCTTCATTCTCCTCATATGCTTGCAGGTAGGATCGTAGGTCTTCTTCTTGGGCCTGACTGCCCACACTGTTCTTTTCCAGCCTTTCTTGCTGGCTTCCCTTCCCAGACTTGGCCGCCAGGACTTCAATCATGTAGTGCCAGCCCTTGCCCAGGAAGGGTTCAAACACATAGCGCCGCAACCATCCCGCAACGCTCAAGGCCCCAATCAGTGCGCATAGGGTGAACACCACCCAGCTCCAATCATAGCCTTCTTCTTCCTTTCCTGGGTCTTTTCCTGTTGCCTCATCCAGCCTTGACAGGATCATCAGCAATCCCACGTGCAAGTCCTTCACCTTCATGATCTTCCTTGTGGCTTTCCTCATCCTCTCTTTATACTCCAGGTCCTTGAACTCCTGCTGGCCAATGCGGTCCCCGATGCTATTGATCATCTTCAGCATGAACAGTAGTCCGAAGAGTCGGCTTCTCGTGAGGTTCTTTGTGCCTATATCCGCACAATTGAGCTCAGTGCCAATGGCGCCCACACTGAAGATCTTCTCTCTCTCTCTCTCTCTCTCTTTCTGCTGCGCCCACAGAAGTGCTGCATCCAGATGTCGTACCCGACCAATGCCTTGCCGCTGTACCATTGCTCGAGCAGCTGAACTGTCGGATCGAACTTTCATATCGCATGGCTCACCAACCTTAGCCATGCAGAGGTGCCGAATAAGCATCCCGTCAGAACATCCTGCCGCAATGGCCACGAATTCTGACTCTCCTGAAGACAAAGCTATGGCTTTCTGTGATCGCACCCTGGATTCCATCAAATTTCCGTCAATGAAGATCTGGAATGATGTAGTGCTCCGTCGGTCATTCTTGTTGCCTGCATAGTCGGCGTCGGTCACCACCTCGATCAAGTGCTTCTCCTTCTCATCGACCTCCTCTTGATCCCTCACATCCATGACCGACTGGCCTTTCTTTCGCAGGCCAATTCTCACACCGAAACCCAATGTGCCTTGCAGGTAGGAGCACACATGCCAAGCATTCTTCCATGTTTGGTGAGTAGGCTTTGCCATGCTTCTTGCTAAGCTCTGGACGCTAAACTGTGCGTCAGGTCTTTCCCCCGCCAGGTACATCAGCCTGCCAACCACGCTGCGGTATTTGGTGATGTCTTCTCCTTCCAGCAGCGGGCTCTCATCCTTCTTGGCGAAGCTCTGATCCATGGGGGTTTTCCTGTAGGCCTTTTTGTACACATCAGTGTCCTTCGCAAGGCTCTCGTACTGCTTGTAGCCACACCTGATGTCACATCCTTCGGTTCCGGGCCAAAATTCCCTCTTGAAATAGTGGAACTTCTCATTCATGTCGAATGGCCCTTTGACTTCGATATTCCACCCTTTCTTCTTCTGCATGTACTGCGCGAAGTTCTTCAACGTGGCCTCGTTCCCCACCATGAAGATGTCATCAACGTGTACTGTGATGTACATTTCCTTCTCCATCATCAGTAAGGTGGGCTGCATCGCATCCTGCTTCAATCCAAATTTCTTTGCAGCCCCAACAAATAGTTGGAACCACTGAGATGCTGCAGTCCTCTGACCTGGCAGACACTTGATGAGCTTGTAGATTTGCCCATCCAGCTCCACGAAGGCTCTCTCGGTTGGTCTGCCATCAGGAAGGCATCCTTGATGTCCAAGGTCATGGCCCTGAAATGCTTGAAGACGTTGATCATCAAGTGGATGAGCATTTTGGGCAGGACCATGATCGACGTGGGGGCGAATGTTTGATCAAGGTCCACACTGCTTTTGAACTGCCTCGCGACCAAACGTGCCCGCCGAAACCATCCTCCTTTCTCCAACCTGTGCTTCCAGGTAATGACGGTAATGACAAACTTTGTGGAAATGGTGTAGCCATTGCATTCTTCCTCCTCACTCCTGTTAGACTCCTCCATGGCTGGCATCTGGAGCATCCTTTCCACTTGATTTCGTTTTGCTTGCTCGTCCAGCAATTGAAGGTGCTCATCTGACGTGATAGGTGGTTCTTCATCTTCATTTCCACCATACCCAGCGAAGAGCTCCTCATTCACTTCCTCCGGGATCAACTCTTGGCCAACCTCCTCGTCTCCATGTGCCTCAATTGCTTGGATACCAGCGTAATGAGGGGGATATAGTCTTGCCACCTTGGTTGGAGAACTTCCTGCCATTTCCTCACCTTCCTCTCTTGACCTCGTCGCTGTGATCTTCGACGGCAGACTCGTTGACCCTTCCTGCTCTCCTTCATCCTCATCGAGCTTTTGCTTCTTTTCCGTCCCTGGGCCAACATCATCAGGTTCCCTCTTGTCATGGGCTTTCCTTGGTGAATCAGACGCATCCAATCTCTTCTTATCTGGTTCTTCACCTTCTCCATCACTTGGCCTCTTTCGTGGTGTATTCGGTGCTGCTGCTGGTGTCTGTGGCAGCGCCGGTGTCATTGCCATTCCTGGTGTCGTCGGCTGTGGTCTCAGTCCGGGCGCTGGTGTCACCACGCCTGCAGCTACTGCATCCGTGAGGGCCTTCATTTCCTCCTCTGTGGCTTCGTTCTCAAGTGTAGGCTGCCTGTACCGTTGCGCTTGCCCTGCATGCTTCATGAGAATTCCCTGTGGACTGTAGCTCCACGGCAAGCCCTTTGCCACAACAATATCTGTGGCAATGAATGCTTCTTCCGCTGCCAGTCGCCTGATTGTCCGAGCTTCGAATGCTCCTTCTGGGCTCAATACGATGTGGTTGTCATTCCAGCTGTGCTTTCCAACCCATACTCCTCGCCCGAACAAATCGCTGGCTTTGTACTTCACAAGCCTTTTAACTTTTGAACATCACTGACTCCCCGAACAAAGCCAGTTTTCCACGGTAACCGTGTCCTGTCGACAGTTCATAGGATGCCTTGTTCACCTTCTCCAGGACCCTGAATCTGTTCAACAGAAATCCAGCATACCTGAATGACCATGGGTACACGTGCATGTTTCCCATGATGCTCAACCGGGCCCTGGACTCTGCGAAGCTGCGGATGCAATTTGCCAGTCTCCTCACATTCTGAACCGCTCGTTCTGCCTGGCCATTTGATGCATGTTGATTGCTGCCAGTCATCCTCACCTCACACGCAGCCCCATTATGGCTCTGACCTGTTGAACAGACCTGAGTAGTTGCCTCATCGCCCTCTCTCCATCTCCTTGGAATATGCATCCATCCATTGAAGAAGTCTCCAAGGAAAATCGCACCACTTCCTCCGTCACTGTCTTCAGGCTTGCTGTTCCTTTTGATGGGACGGGGACAACATGTACTGCCTTGGTCTCTGAGGACACCATGACCAAACATGTACCATATTGGTCAGCTCTTTCAGTCACCTTGTCCACCGGGGCCTCATCCATCCTCTTCTCCTCACCTGTGTACGTGTAGAAGAAGTCCATCTGAATCACGTTCTTGCCCTGGTCTGGTTTGTCATCACTCATTTCGCGCTTGTCTTCCTTAGCCCTGGTGGCTACACATGCTTGGCACCAAGGAGCATATGGAAGATGAGTCACAAAGTGTGTCTCCTGCTCCTTCAACAACGGCAGTCGGGGTTGTCCAAGTGCTAGTGGCTTCCTTTCCTGCTCTTTGTAGAGCTTGCTTGCCACCTCAAGTTTCATGTTGTTCTCCAGGTTGACCTTGAATGCAATCAGCCTGTCCAACAGTCGCCTTTTGCTCCCACTATAGGGCAATTGGCGTTCCTTGCACGCAATCTGCAAGTCCTTCACGCCCATCTTCTCTGTGTAAATGGTCTCGTCGAGCTCCACCTCATTTGGTCTTTGCGCCACCACCATCTTCTCAATGTCATGGAACTCCATCTTTGCCTCCATGTCTTCTTCCTCCTCTCTATCATCCTCAGACCAATCTGTCCTTGCTTGCGGTTCACGCCTTTTCTCTTCTGGATATGGTCTTACCGGTACCTCTGATGCCTCCTCCCAGTAATCCTCCATGATAGAGGGTGCAAAGAAGGCGATCGTTCGAGGTCCATCATTCCCAACTCTCTTGAAGGCCTCTGGTCCCAAGTCCAGGTAGTTCTCAATGTTTTCAACCTGGATCCATGTGCCTTCCTTTTCCTTCAGCAAAGTCATTCGTGACTTCCATGCCTCCTCGATCTGTCCTCGGGGATCAGCAAGTGTCACTGCCACTGGATCACTGTAGGCTACTATGCCATTGGGGAGCTGATGCCATCCAGGCTGCATTTCCAGGTCCTTCACGCACCGGCTGAGGCTTCCTCTCAAAGCCAGAACACGCGACTCCACTTTGTTGCCTCCCTTCTCACCTGCCATCTCCACCATAGAGATGAGTGCGCTGAATTGCAGGGAGTTTCTTTCTCCACTAATGGGGACCTCTCCTTGTGCTGCAGACCAAGCTGGCCATTCTCCCCTTCAATACTCCAACCTCTTCGCAGAAGTCGTCCGGCACATCGGATCGGATGTTGCACGTTCCCCAGCACGAACTCTTCCACCATCTCAATCTTCTTACCACTTGCATCTGTGGTGCTGATCCTGGCCTTTGTGACACCATTGTGTGCGATGCGCTTTCCTTGAGCATCCACCATCCTCAAACTTGCTGAGCCTGGCGCCCATTGCCCAACGTCTGCATAGGCTTTGGGCAGTACTGAAATATCAGCACCGCTGTCAAGCATAACCAGGCACTCATCTCCATTTTCTGAACCAGCGCTCACCATTTGCACCAGCTTCTCCTCATTGTCCTAAGGTCCATGGCCACAATCACAATACCCGCCGGGATGTTCACCACGGGCTCTATGCAGTCAAAGAACTCTTCACCCATCTCATTCTCGTCACACATTGTCTCAATCATTCCCACTCTCCACGGGAATTCATTATCTTCTGATCCTGAGCCCGTGAGGTCAAAGATCTCCAGACTCCTTGTATCTGGCGGCGTGGCCACGCGTACCATCTTCACTGATGCCGTTGTTGTCGATGCTGAAGGTGCTGCTCCTGCTTGTCCCGTAGACGACGAAGAGGCTTGTCCTCCTCCTGTCTCCTCAATCGGGGAAATTCTCTTCCAACACTCACGGGCAAAGTGTCCAACCTTGCCGCAATTGTGGCGTGCCCCAGCTTGCTTTCCTGTCTTTCCACCCTTTTCTGGGGCTTTGCCCTTCTTGCCATGTCCACTCTTGTCCCAGAAGCTCTTGTGTCAATCTTCCAGGCACCTTTTCCTCCATCACTCTTCATCTTTCCTTTCTCTTTGCCCTTCGTCTTTCCCTTTCCATCCTTTGACTTGCTCTTGCCACCTTTCTTCCCTTTCTGGATGTTGTCGACCTCCATGGGTACGGCCTCGTCCATGGACATCCTGGTCGGGAGGCTGAGAGAATTAGAGCTGTCCCACTTGGTGGCCAGTGCTTCGAGCTCCATAACCTTGTTCTTCAGCTGCTCATACGTTGTGGTGTCCGTGATCCATAGCTGAAGGTGTGACCTCAGATGGGCCGGAACTGCCTGCAGAATCGACGCCACTTTGTTGTCGTCCCCATAGGTGTGGCCTGAGATCCTCTCGTACTCTGTTACGATGGATTCATACACAGGCAACTGTTCCGAAATCGACTTGCCTTCAGCGAACTGGACCCTCGACAGCTGGGTTAGGAGCCCGAGTGATCTTGCTCTGGTCACAGGTTGCATCTCTCTCAGGAGCCTCTGCCAAGCCTCAAAGCCGTTCTCCTGCTTCATATGGCGGACCAACTTCAATGGCCGATTGCGCAGGTAGGAGATCAACAGGCTGTAGAGACGGATGGCTTGTGCCTTTGTTTCATCAGTCATCTCATCCAGCTCATAGTTTCCATTGAGGTTCTCCTGCACGAGCTTCAAGCTTCATGCTGTAGGCCATGGGTGCGTCAATCCCTTTGACATAGTTCTCAAAGGAAAATTTCCAATCGCTCCACTGTTTCAGCTCATTGTCCCGGGTGTCCGGTTTGAACAGGTCCGGGGTTTTCAAGTGTCTGGCCCATGAACTTGAGCTCTGCGTCACCGTCAGTTTCTCAAGGGCCGTTGAAATCATCTTCAAACTCTCCTCTGCCATTGCCTGTATGTAAACCACACTGGGGTAATACGTCCTGGTGGTCAAATTGGGCTCTCCTTCCTCGAACTCTTCCTTGATCTCCAAGTTGGTGTAGTTCAGGATCTTCCTGAAATCCCAGTTGGCGACGAGCTCACAGATCTTTTCCTCGTCCGTTTGATCTCGTAGCTTCTCAATCCTCTTCAGAAATTTCCACTTGGCCTGGACTATCGCCACCAACTGCTTTCTTCCCCTGGATCCTCCCTTTCTTCCTTTCTCTTTCTTCTTCACACGCAATGAGGCTCGAACTGCCCCACTGCCTCTGGCCCACTGTAGCTTGCCCACGTACGTGCTCCTCAGTGTCGATCTCGATCGAGTGGATGTAGCGAACCTTCCACTTCGACTGCTGCGCCACCACTCGTGGTGACCTGCACCACCCGCCAAGCAGCTCAGCAGCAAAAGCTCCACGAGCCAAAAGGAGATAGATTGTGCCCCCCTCGAGGTCACCTTCCGCGATGTCAAACGGCGGGTCGTGGTGCAGTGTCGTGGGCAACGGAGCGGGCTCTTACGGCCACGCTCCGCTACCATGCGAAGCGAGATCTTTTTCTCAGCTTGGGCCTATACAGTTGCGTTTGCGCACTTCTTGTTTTGTGCGTGTCATGCCTGACCGAGTGACCGCTCGTGACTGTCAAACATATTATATTATAAGCATATGATCTTGAGCCGAACACCCAATTGTCCGGTATAGTTTTTTCTTTCTCCGGGCCTCCATCTGAGCTTTTATCTTCGAAAGCCAAATTCCCCAGTATCAGGGGCTTACGTTCCCACCAATCTCCAGCCGTGGCAGTCCAAAGCTTCTCCGCCGTGTCGACCATTTCAAAGATGAAATAGCCTCATCAAGCCAAAAAAAGACGTACAAACCTTGGAACCTTTCAAAGGTCTGGAGTGACTCTACAGCTCTTAGCGCGCAACATACATTGATCTAGATCCCCCTCCGCCAGTTCTATAGTGCCCAGGAGCAATTGCCAATCTGGAAGTGCCAAAGAAACCTCAGCGAACAGGTGGTGGAGACAATTCCCACGCTTGCCAAGTGCAACCTCGACAGCAAACACTTAGTTAAGTGAATGAGCACAAGTTCAAACCGGATCAATGAACGCGCTAACTCGCTACTGCAGGAACGACCTCAAGATAACTGCAACGGCTCTGTATAAGTCGGCAGGTACGTCGATCCGGCGTCCCAGATCGATATTAGCAGCACGCATTTAGTGTTGAACATCCTGGTAGCCAACTGGAGCGACTAGGATTGGTGTGGCCTCAACAACAGGGGTTGACACACACACACACACAAAGCCGTGAATCCGGCGCGCAAAGAAAAATTGGCCTGAAGTGACGCAAACAATGCTATTTTTTGACTTTGCAGCCCGACGACAGTCCCGTTCATCGTTACCCTTAATTGTGAATGTACAATGAAAGAGCTGCTGGGGGATGGAACTGTACTGCTTGATGGCGTGCACGCGGGATGCCAATCCCGACAGGCGTAGGCCGGTTGATCTCGTTGATGCATTCTGTTGGTGGTGTCAATGGAGAAGCCGGGAAGATGGAAGTCTTTGGCTGGGTGGGAGAGAAAATGTTCGTTGATGGCAAAGAAGCTGTTGTCGACATACCTGAAGTAAACATAGCGGAGCTGGGTGTGTGAAAGGAGGGAGGAGTGCAGCTGGTGCCAGGAATGTTCGATGAGGGCAACGGCGACGTTGCAGAGTGCGGGGTATAGCTGAGATCCGACGCCTGCGGATCTGTTGGAAGGTTGTTGGGCATGCTGCGTTGAGTGCATGGCGCACAATGTCTGTGATGTCGTGAGTGTCCAATGTACGTTGCGTGGGGCGCTTTCGGTGATGTTGGGGCCAACGTGAGGTTGGATAGGATTGCCGGTGGCTTTGGTGTTGATAGTCGCTGTAAACGGCATTGAAAAAGCCCACCAGGTCGTCATTGGTGACATGGAGGTGGATATGGTTGGGCACGTGGTCGAGGGTTCTGAGGAGAATGCTGCGCTGATTGGAACTAAAGCAATGATGGCGCAGCCCTTCTGCCATTGTCTTTCTGCTTCAAATGGACGATCCCATGGGGCCTAGATGTTGTTGGGCGGTTGCTCTGGCGGTGAATCCAGGTTCACAGTGCAAGCGTTGGATGTGTTCGCACCATTGGGAGGTCAGGTGTGCATCGGCAAGGATAGTGGCAAGCCCTGGGTAGATAGCCATCCTTTGAACGCTTTGGTGATGGTGGGAAAGAAGTCGCTTATATTGGCATGGAGAAAATGCCTGAGCTGTGGCGCAGGTGGATATCAAAAATAATAAGACACGGAATGACCGTGTGTTGTAGGATGTTCGGGCTGCAGAAGGAGAGTCTGGAAGTGAGAACAAGCACGCGGCAAGTGGGTAAGTGGAACGGTGTGGTGGGAATGTTGGCGGACCAAGGAGGTAAGCCAACGTTGGGTGTTTTGGTAAAAGGTGGTGTGAGCCAAGAAAGGGACGGTAAGTGGTGTATGGGACTTGGGAGGTGTAAGATTATGGTAGGGAAGGGTGTCTGCGCCGGAGGAAAAAGCTCGAACTGTTTCGTAGGACCTAGAGGTGGATTTGGTAAGGTTGCCTAGAAGTATAGTGATGTGAACAGGTGTGGTTGGTTGGTAGAATGTAAGCGGCGACGAAGTCTTTGGAATAAACGGCATTGAGTTGCAAAGCGTGGAAAGAAGTAACCACCTTCCGAATACAAAAAAAATATGTACGTGAAGATACACCACCCACAGGAGGAGGAGGACGAGGAGGAGGAGGAGGAGCATAAATGCAGATCCCAGCAGATCCACTGTCAACTATGCCCGCTGCGGCCTACTTGAGCCCTGTCAAAATGAACTCTGACGCCAAGAGAAGCTGATGAGTTTGCTTGTATAGCGCATTGGCATTGGCAAAAAATGACCAAAACATGCTTTGGGGGTTGAAAGGAAAGGTCACCGGCAAACCACGGGATAACGCGCGCTCTGTGGAAGATGGCGCAGCACTGCAGGTAGGGTGTAAGTCAGTGGCGGTGGCAAAGTTGTTGACGGGGGTATCTGGATGGATCCTGGTCGCCTAGATATGGTGCTTCGGCAGCTTGTTCATCAGGCGCTGCGAAGCACCCGTGAGCAAACTCAAGCCAGGTTGGCTGCACTTTGTGTTTTGCGGGGTTTGCTGGATGACCCACACAGCTCCAGCAGATCCCTGACGCGATAAAGCTAAGGTCCATCTTTCTCAGTGAAAGCTCGTGTGTCCATACCTGTATCAACGCCAAGCACGATTGTCATGGTTCCTCGCCTGTAGGGAAATCCTAGTACTGCACCGGCCAACCCAGTGGGCACACCAGCTGGATTAATTGAGGTCGCTTTTCCAGATGGCCTGCAGTCAAACCATGCGCCCTTCAGTCCATGGACCTCCAACATTGCCAATGAGATTTCCTTGACTTGCGCTATCTACAAGGACCCCTCAAACTCTAGTTTTGGTGAGGCGAGGCGGCGGGTCCAAATAAAAGGTTGCAAAGTTGGCGACCCTTCCACCGAACTTGTAGCTTCGTGCAAAGGGTCGCGCAATGCTTGAAAAGGACTGACGCACGCGCGCGGACATAGCTGCACAAAATGTCAATGAGATCATCGGCTGACGCGTGTTCGAACAGCACACGTCGCTGCACAAATGTATCCAAATTTGAGAACAGACATTCAATGAAACGCAAAAACCGAAAAAATCGTTTCTATGGATCAACTGGGGTGGAAGCGCCCAATGAACATCTAATTATATACACTACTCTTGTGCTGTGCTGACTTGGAAGCGTGATTCCTGCTGCATTGTTGAGCATGCCTGAAAATTTATGAGGTCGGAGGTTTGTCACTTCTGATTATTTATTGGGGTTTCGAAAGCTGGTTTTGCTAGTTTTGTTCTGCCTGCGGTCACAACCAATAAACAAACATTTATAATCTATACAGTGTGTCGCGCTTGAACTTGTTTTGGCCCATCTAGTTTCGAGCTGAGCCGCTTCTCATCGCGGGTCGTTGGACAAGGCATCAAACCCAATTTCTTGTCAGCGCCAACGTGAACGCACTGGTCAGAGGATCCTCGGAGCAAACCATTTTGCATGACCACGAAGCTCCCTTCATGAGGCTCATCGCACTGGCACACAGAGAGAACAGGCTGGTCGCAAACGCACCAGTTCCCAGGACTGTCCACCAAAGTGCCCTTGGGAGGATCAAAGTCCCAAGTGACCATGCTCACGCGGAGCCGGTTGGAAGAACTGGCAAGCCAAAAGTAAGAACCATAATTAACCCCCCAGTTCGTGATCTCCACATCGAGCGCGGCGTCCTGGGCGACACTTTGCTCAACTGAAATCGAACGCCTCACTCGGCGGGCGGTCCTGACTCCCCCTTCCCGCACCTCCCCCCGGGTGGAGGAGCAAATGCAAACTGCATGAATACGTACACATACACCGTCGCAAAACACACGCGCATACATCGTCACATTTTACATAAGACACGACACTGTCTGAAGCACTGCAGACGTGATTTGCAGGGTCGTCCGCCGTTTGGCAACTGGTCAAGCCCAATCTGAAGAAAGACCCGCTCACAATATTTGCGTAAGACACGAGTCACACGGCATGTGCAAGGCGGGCGCGTGCTTCCCTGGACGAACGCCACTTCCAACAAATCTGCCGGCCCTTGAGATATCCCTGAAAGAAAGCAACGCCGAACCTCTATTCTCAGGTCGTATCAGCGCCGAGCCTGTTCAAGTCAAATTCACCATCTGTCGTCCCCGGTCGTAGGCCCGAAGTCCTCAAGTGGCCGATGTGGCCCTGCAAAGATTAAAAAATACAACGTGGCCGCGAAAGCCCCGCGTGGCTCCAACTTCTTCTTCCTCCCGCGTGGCCAAGCAGCAGTGGCCCAGGTTCAAGTGTTGGATCAAAGATCAGGCATTGGCACCTATCGGTTGACGAGCCTCTTGGACTTGATGACTGCCTTGCGTACTTATGGGAGACTGTGCTCCAGTGCAACGGCCACTTCGCGGGCAATGACCGCGCCAAATATTGAATCGAAATGGTCAATATCAAAGTCCTCACACTCATGGTGTTCTGCAATTTGACGGGTCCCACGCCAACTGGCCTCTACAGTGGCAGGTGTTGAGGTATGAAAGGATGCGTTGACCTTATGATTGACTCTCCGTGGAGGCACCATAACGCTGGCGCCTATTCTACTCTATTTGTCAAAACAGTGGTCGACGGCGAGGTTTCCGTCTCCCGTAATGTAGTCAATGTGCATATGGAGGCAGTTGCGAATGAACCTAGAAAGGGAAGCTGCTACCTTGTTCATACCTTTGCGTCGGCAGAGCTGTGATATGGGTCAGACCGTCGGGCCGATCATATATTCTGGAAATCCGGCCTTGTGAACCAGGTCGCAGAGATCAATTTCACCGTTCCAGCTGGTGTGGTCCTTGTCTTGGAAGTCAACCGTCAGTGAGATCAACAAATTCGTTCTTGTTGTTGCCCATGGTATGACATTCGGCAGGCGTAAACTTTCCTTCGCGAACGAAATTTCCGCACATATGACCAGGAACTATCGAGCAATCGGCATAGAGAGATCTGTTCATATGGCTTGCCATTGCAGGCACAAAGGTTGTAGGCTGTTCGGATCGGTTGTCGCCAAACAAAAGCGGCTCCTGCGCTTATCCACGGTTGATCGTTGAAGCGTGTAAGTAAGTTCAATGGGCAGTGCCCGCAGGGCCATGAACAAAGATGGCAACGGCAGGAACGTTCTTAGTTTTGATAGATAAGCTCTAGAAGACTGGGCCAAGATCATCGCCTTTGAGAGGAACTTGCATTGCACGGCCGGCTTGCTTGGGGAGTTTATGGGGCCTTTCTAGATTGTCCACGTTCAATGTTACACGTGGAGACGCTTGATCTGCCTGGGCCTAAGCTGTGGTCTCTTCCTTCTAGGTCAAAGAGGTTGGACGTGAGTCCGTGAAAATAAGATCGAACGATGTCTGTATTGCAATCAGCCGTAAGTTTCTTGCTAGGCGACAACTGCGACCGAAAAACATCTCAGGCAAACTGTCCCTATCATTGCTTTTGGCAGAGAGGTGAAGGTATGCGCCAGGGGGGGCTTGCTTCCATTGTATGATGGAGTTTCTTCAGGGCATTGAGAGCTTCTTCACGTCATTGTGGAGTTGCTTGAGATGTCTTGTCGTGGTAGTTTTTCAGTGGTCTTATTGCTGATGGTTTTTACAGTTTCTAGGCATGGACTTTGCTATTTTTCATATTCCTTGAGAAGATCTCGGTCCCTGTTCAGCAACGCGTTCATATCAATGGGTCTTGTTGGTTCGTGCGCAAATCGTTCTTGGGAAAGATTCTGTTCCATCTGGCCGGGTACTTGATGTCCGCCAGACGGTGCTAGGTTTCTTAGTCGTAGACCTCTTCAAAACCAATAAGGCATACTTAGTACCGCAGCGCATCTCTAAGAGTCAGTCAAAAACAGCGTCGCGCAGCTGACGCACAAAAGAGGTCTTCGAAAGTTGGCAAATACTGCAAGCCTTGAGCTACATATTGGAGTTCTCAAAGATTGCCGGCTCATATTGGACTGGAGGAAGCTCAAGAGATCCGGCAGAACCGGCCTCACTGATTGTAACTATGCTGGTAAGTGTGGACGATTGTGATTCTGCGTCGACCACAAAATCAGACGCACCCTCGCGATCTTCTTCATCTTGTTCTTCTTCGGTCTTCTGCCGGTGAGATCCAGGAGTCTGAGAGACGGTCGTATTCACGTCTTTGATCTTGTCCTACATGATGTCTTGTCATTGTCCTTGGTGGTGATGTGCTTGGAAATGGAACATCATCGTGAAAATCTAGGTTATCATCACCATCGTTATTGTAGGGCGGCGCAACTTCTCGATAATATTGCTCGGCCTTTCTTTTTCTGCTCCCTGGGGACTCATCGTCTTCTTCCTGGGACTGGAGGTTGTGGTTCATATGGCACTTCTTCTTCAACGTATGCATGTTCCTCGCTTGGAATGCCAAGCATCTTAGGCGATCGGTTTGAAGGAGTTGGCCAAGGGTCCTTGACTCCAGGATGGCCGAAAAGTGCTTCAGTGCTTCCCTGATCTTCCAAAAGTCTCTATTTAGAGGCTCCACCCTTATTTAAAGACTATAGTTTTTATTTTTTCAATGAAAAACATCTAAATAAGGTCTAAAGACTCTAATTAGATGTTAAACCCCTTAAAATGGAGCAGATACCTCCTCTATTTGAGGGTTTAAGCTTTAAATTAGAGACTATAGTCCTTATTTAAGGGATGTTCCAAAAGTCCTTATTTAGGGGATGTTGACTGGCAAGAGCAACAACATATTTTCCACTTTAGAGTCCACTCCAGAGCTCCGGTACCGCCCCAAGACTCCTCAGTGTATGTCCAGAAGGCAGATGGCGGAGTGCTAGTCTGGACAAGTTCGAGAAAGGCGTGCAGCTTTGGCTTGGCCGGAAAAGTCTTCCAACCATGATCCGCGGAGTAATCACCCAGCGCGACATAGAGAAGGGCGAAGCGCAGGGCAGCCTGTTCTAGAAGTTCTCTGTGAAAGGCCTCTTTGCTCAGCTGCTGGTAGCACACCTGCAGCTGCAGGGCGGCTGCTGCTGCAGTGGCGGCCGCAGGCTGTGTGTGGTCGAAGAGCTCGTTTGTGACCTCGACCGCGAAATCAATGAGGTCCCTAGCTTCACCGGCTTTCGCCCGCAAGCGGGCATAGGCACCAGGCTGCTTCCCTATCATGGTATGGTGGGCTTGAGCAGGTTCTCTTGTAGTAGTCCTTCATACGCAAGTGTAGAGCGCTGCACTTTTGCGCTTGGTTGCCCTCGAGGTAACGGCAGGCCCAAGCCAAGATGCCCCCTAAGAATCCAAGGAGATGCCCAAGTCAGTGGTGTGGAGCCAATCCATTTGGAAGGTTTCGGCTGTGACAAATGGAATATTGAAGGCTGGAGAAATCGATTTCCCATCAGCCACCATCCTGACCAAGAGATCAGCATGGCAGAGGCGGTGGCTGGGCTGTCGCCAGTCGGAGTTGGAGGCCACTTCGCGAATGCGGTCTGGCGTCATATCGCATCGATAGCAGCAGCCAGATTGTCGCGCCAGCCAGGGAAGCGAAAGACAGACTTGAGGGCTGACCAATCACCTTTGATTTGCAGCAGCACCCCACGGGGCAAAGGCATGGCAGAGCCCAAAGCCTTCTTCCTCCAGGCATCGGTGTCGTTGAATGGCTTTCCGTCTGATCTGGTCTGATGCCAACAGCCGGTGGCCAAGGCAGCAAAGCTCCAGGCACAAACCCGAAAGATGGCATCGATTGCGCCACCTTCACCCTTCAAAACACAGTGCTTTGGCACGACAGCTAGGGGCAAGCGCAAGTCGAGCAGCCCACAAGTCAAAATGCCGAGAGACAGGACTTCAACACTCTTCGAGCGATCCGAGTTGAAAGGCACACCATCTTGCCACATGCTGAGCCCACAAAGAGATTCCTTGTCTACTTTGAGCGCAGCAGCAAAGCGCCCGATGCGTGCTTTCAGCGCAGATGGCAGCTGGTCAAAGTCTGTCAGGCCCGCAAGTGACACTGTCCTGGAGTGCAAAGTTGCGACCAGCTCATGGGGCAGCCACAGAGGCACAGTGCCTTCAGAGCGTGCTTGCGCTTTCCGGTGGGCAAAGCAGCCATGTATGGTTTCGGCCAGAGGCTGTCGCGCAGCAGCTTGCGCCGCAGGTCCTGCTCAAGTTCTTACCGCTCTTGCTCTTGGAGCCAACCGCAGCTAAGTCGGACACATGGGCCGCGCTGGCATCTTCAGCGTCTTGGAAAAGAGCGCTCGCTCGGAGCGCGCTGACATGGTTGCCCAGCAGCAGGTCTGCGACATTGTGCCGGAGTCGCTTCTGCTTAGGGACTGCTTTTCTCTTGGAATCTCTTTCTTTTTTGGGCAGCGTTGTCTGCAAAACAAAACAGAAAACATGCACTGATCGCGCAGCACCTACAGAGAAACACACGTGAGCTAGGCCTAGCAGCTAGGCTGTTACTTCGAGCCTGAACCTAGGGGTCTACGGCGCAAGAACTCTTTTCGCTCACAGCCGCTCAGGCATCGCTCTATACAGGACAGATCAAAACCTACAGAGCATTCCCCACAGAGCTCTGTAGCTCATGGACTCATGGCACACCTACACAAAGCCGCGGTGCTGCAGCTCCACCTTGCCGGCTGCATCCTTAGCATCTATGGCTTTCTGTGTCGCTTCCTGAACCATTTCCTGCAGGATCTTCGGCTCTTCATCCCCCTTGAAGGCTTCGGCTCGCTTCATTAGGA